AGAACGTGCGCTAAGGATCAAACCCAGTGACTCACATTCACATATGTTAGGCAAGTGCTCTACCACTGAACCCAACCCCAGTTCTCCTATTTCTGACAGTAACTAGAGGAGTGTAGAAAGAATTCAGAATTTGAGTCTGAAGCTGCATTCTTGTGCTTTTGTCACTTGCTGTGTAATCTTATAAAGTTAGTGTCCCTCCCTGGGCCTCAGTTTTTTCATCTATAAAGATAATCTCTGCCCATCTCACCTAATCATTGTGAAGGTTGTTAAACAAAATGATGAGATGCCCTTGTTTTGGAGTGAGCTCCTCTACTAGGCTTCAACACAACCAGACCTAGCCAAAATGGAGTCACTTATGCTAAGTACCACATAATCTTTTAAGGGAACAGATAGATTCCAAGCCAGACCAAGTTTTCCTGAAAGCAAGAGATTCTAATCTGAGTCAACATAATAAGTAAGTCCCCTCTGCTTTAATACTTGTTTAAAAAAAAAAAAAAAGTTACCTGAAGTATCCTGATGTTAACCAATCAGGATTTGGGGTCGGGGTTCTATTTTTCCCCCTTGTTCCTGCCTCATATACCCCAGTGTTCTGCTATTGATGGAGGCTGCCTGATTCGTGAATTGTGAATAAAAGCCACTTAGATATATAACTAAATTTGTTATCCTTTGTTCATCCTTTGACAAGATGAAATTATGTAGATTATCAAAATCATTTTCAAACTGTAAAATATTAATCAAATGTAATGTATTCATAGGAATTCATAAACCTTTCACTGCACATGGAACACTTTATATTCTTCCCCTCATACCTCCTTCCATTTTCTCATCTCTGTTCCCTGATTCTTAGCATCACTGACTTCTCTTCCCTTCCCTCTCCACACACTTCAGTTTCTCTCTCTCTCTCTCTCTCTCTCTCTCTCTCTAGCTATCTATCTCTATCTCTATCTCTCTCTGTCTCTGTCTCTCCTTTTTGGGGGGGAGGGGTAACGGGGATGGAACCCAGGAGTGCTTAACCACTGAGCCACATCCTCAGCCCTTTTTTTTATATTTTATTTAGAGATAGGGTCTCACTGAGTTGCTTAGGGCCTCGCTAAATTGATGAGGTTGGCTTTGAACTGGAGATTCTCATGCCTCAGCCTCCGAGATGCTGGAATTACAGACATATGCCACTGTGTCTGGCTAATTTCTGTCCCAGAGCAAAAGCTTGGTTTCAATGAAGTGCTCTCAAAGTGGCCAACCAGAAGTCCTCCCTGCTTAGGACCCCTTAGCCTTTGACTTTCATGTGTTTCTTTTCACCACTTACTACCTTGTGAGAGGTGACTTTCTGGGAAACAAAATCTGCTTTTTTATTTTTATTTTTCCTGTAAAAGACCTGAGCAGGTTCCTCAAAACCTGCAGCTAGAGTTAGCTGGCAGTCACTTGAGACTGACTATGCACCCTGCTCTGGGATACTACCTCACTCCCAGGATGCCTACCATCCATACCCTCACTCGGGGAAGGTGAATTTATTGCACCATTTCTCTGTATTAAACCTTGGGGTTTTCAGGGCTGTCAAGGGAAGCTGGCTGGCTGGCTGGCAGGGCCACCTT